TTCAAGTCTTCTTTCGCGTTAACCCAAAACTCTCGTGGTGCACATTGGGTTACGCTAATGTCGACGGTAACCACTATTTTTCAGAAAATGGCAAGAGCACTTCGAAAATTCTGATCAAAAAAGACATCACATAACGATCTTTTAACTTTAGGTTACAGTAACTTCGTCAAAAATGGTCATAATGAGATTTTTAAAAAAGCATTTTAAAGGTTGAAATCTCTACTTTCAAAATCAGTAATTGATATTTCAATCTAACTGATCTTTGACGGAGCTATACGGACGCAAACGGATATTTGTCAAATCTGAAACATATCGTATAATTTTCTACACACCTTACAAAGGTCTATGGCGTGAGATAAAAATTATAATAATACGAAAATGCGGTTTGCAGCAGTCGAAGGAGTGAATCTTTACCTTCAATTTCCTTTTTTATTGATTGTTGTACGATATTTGTCCACCGAGTTATTGAACGTTAAAGTAGAAGTGATCACTTTTGTTTCATCGTTCAATAATTCGGTGAAAAAAAATCGTACAATGTTTAATAAAAAAACAAATTAAAGGTAAAGATTCACTCTTTCGACTGCTGTAAATCGCATTTTCATGTAATTTTTACCTCACGCCATAGACCTTTGTAAAGTTTGTAAAAAATTTTTAGATTTGACGGATATCCATTTGTGTCCGTATAACTCCGTAAAGTATCATTCATATTGAATTTTCGATTATAGATTTCGAAAGTAGAGATTTCAACCTTTAAAATCCTTTTTTAATTTTTTGTCTGCGATGATTTTTCATTGAATTATGGTGTTCTGAATATTGCTCAATTTTTAGTGTGTTTGAAAGTGTTCCCTAGATTTTGTTGAGCAGTGTATATGTAAAATAATGCATGTATACGTATTTTAAACTCATGCATTTATCTCAATAATAAAATAATAATTTTTTAATACTTAATTGCAAGATTGCTAATGCTAAATCAAATTGATGTTAAAATAATGTCCATATCTTTCCGAAATAAAAATTAGCTTTGTACCCTAAAACTCAAATAAAATTTCTTTGAGTAATGCCGTTGCTCATGTAAATTAACAAAATCACAAACGTTAAACTATAAAATTTAGTGATATACTATTAATAATAAATTACTGTGTTTTAATGATAAACGACAATGTTTCGATACTGTAATATATTATTTAATATATTATCTTTCCATCTCTATCTGTATGTATGCATGTGTGTGCGTCTGTGTGTGTGTGTGTGTGTGTGTGTGTGTGTGTGTGTGTGTGTGTGTGTGTGTGTGTATACATACTTACACACATAGAGGTAGAAGAATATTATTATTGATTCTTTGCATCTATATATACAAGGTGTTTTATTTTAATTGATGCACTAAAATATCTTTAGAATAGACATGGGATTGAAAAAGATTACAGACAAAAGTTGTATGATCTGTATAAGGGGGACGAGTAATAGTAAAATTAATTCTTGAAAAATTATTTTTTTTAAATTGATATTAAGTTGATTATTGTTAAGTTTTGATGTCCCTCTACAAATCATACTTTTGTCTGAAATCTTTTTCAATTCCATGTCTTATTCTAAACATTTTAGTGCGTCGTTAAAATGGAACACTCTGTATATATAAATATGCAAAGAATTAATAATAATAGTATTAATATAATAATGTCCTTCTGTGTGTGTGTGTGTGTGTGTGTATACGTGTGTATACGCACATACACGCACACAGATAGAGATGAAAAGTTAATATTAATGAACAAAATAAAGGATAATTTTATCCACAAAATAATTTTCACACCTTACTAGATCACATATCGATACATTATACTCTTAAGACCGGGAACGATTACGATCCCTGATGAATTTGTCTATAGCTGGATTTTCCTTTATTACTGTTCTTATCACTTCATAATCAATGTATTCCATTGTGTTTTTGTATGCATTGGGGTAGTTTGTATCCCAAACATAGTATGAAGCCAATAAACAAGCTACTGATTTGCAAACAGATGGCTCACAAATTTTCATCCTAATCTCATCTGCGACAATATAGGCTGCAGCAATACCTCCCTCCATTGTGAACAAAACTAATCGAGGTGAATCGCCTTCCACAGTCATTAAATTTTGTGTAGAAGACATAGCCTGGAGTGGTAGAAAAAGGAAATTAAAACTATTATTTCCTGAAGAATGGAATTTCTATATTAATTAATAGATATAAAAATACATACCTTTTTCACAAGAAACAAAGAGTTTTTTTTTTAATTTCTTGTTTGTC